GCTACAGTATTTGTAGAAGATACTTTTAGTATATGGAGTATCTTCTACAAAAACTGTAGCATTTAAACATATACTAAAAGTATCTTCTACAAATACTGTAGCATTTAAACATATACTAAAAGTATCTTCTACAAATACTGTAGTATTTAAATGTTTAAATACCACAATATTTGTAGGAGATACTTTTAATATATGTTTAAATACTACAGTATTTGTAGAAGATACTTTTAGTATATGTTTAGTGCTACAGTAGTTGTAGAAGATACTTTTAGTATATGTTTAAATGCTACATTATTTGCAGAAGATACTTTTAGTATATGTTTAAATACTACAGTATTTGTAGAAGATACTTTTAGTATATGTTTAAATACTACAGTATTTGTAGAAGATACTTTTAGTATATGTTTGTATACTACAGTATTTGTGCAAGTTTGTTTTTATGTTTTTAAAGGAGTTTATTTTATTTTTTCAGTTATTCCTGCTGGCATGTTGCATGCTCCTTTTTTTGAAGCTGGACAACCACAGTAAGTTTATTTAAAGTATAATTAAAAGGTCTTTTTAGCTAACGCAAATAAAGGTGTGTATCAATTACATTAAAATAATGTAGATTAGGAAGGAGGATTGGTTTTCAAATGTTTTTATGAGGGTCAGAAAACAGTGAAAACCATGGAAAATTTGGTTTACTAACAGATATCTCGTAGGAGTGTCAGTTAAACAGTTTCATTTGAAAGTATACGAAGAATAAATTATTATGGTTTATGTATACTTTTTACACTTCATTGTAAACAGTACTATTAATGCCTGTGTTTCCTTATTGTAGAAATGTAAGTACTAGAACAGCAGAACATGGACGTGCTCCATCACATGTCAACCAACATTTTAAAGATATAGAACATTGTAATGAAAATAAAACTGTTAAAATAAATAAAATAATAAATAAAACACAAGGGGTATGTTTATAATTATGCTAGCTCAAGGTTATGTGGTTGATGTTATCAATTGAGTGTATTTAACTGTCGTGTGCAATTGTGCTGAATACCTGATGATACCACGTTAACAGTGGCAAAACTTTGTTTTTAAATGATGCATTATTTCTATTCCATTTTAGCTGTTTTGAATTTTAAACTGATTAAGTTCACTGACTAACTGTCTTACGTCACTTATATTTTATGTGGTTAAAATCATTTTCTAAAATTTCATTTTGTCTCTAGGCATTAAGGCATGCTTATCATATGATGTAAAAAAAACTATTCAGAGAATCCTCTAAATTAAAGTTATAAAAGTTTAAAGGTATAAAAACATGATGGAGGTTAAGTATATGAACTTAATAAATAGTTAAAAAAGTAAATACATCTGTCAGATTAAGGGTATAAACATGATAACTAGGTTAAGGTAAGAAAATGAGTATTAGGAGCAGGTTGAGGATAAGAAGCAAGTTAAATACTCTCTCTCTCTAGACATGCTAGCCAACAGATCTGATTACCTCAGTGAATATTACCTATTGTTTTCCTGATACAGCTATCATTGATTGTTCTGTACTAAACTTTTTGGTGACACTATTTTGAATTGAACGCATCTACTGTTCTAGTATTTAATTCAGTATGCACTTGTTCACATGTGCAGTTGTCGTAAATACTGAATACTCATAATCTCCAATTATCTAATCATTTATCTTCATTACTTTTAAGTCTTTTTTTTAATCATCACTTATTAGTGTTATCTTCTTTTATCTAACCTTTTAACACCCTTTTCACCACATGACAGGTTATTCTCTACATCTCATTTTCCAATATTAAATCTTGTAACTATTTGCTCACCACTTTGTGGGTTTCTCTAGGCATAGAAAATATTTCAATGAACTAATACTAATTTTTTAGCAATATGTTTACCACATATATTTAATGTTTTAATGTCAATATGTTTGTCATTTAAATATTATTTTCCCTTAGTATAATTCTCAATTAACATTAAATACTTAATGTTCAATGGCCAGTAGTTTAGGTTTCACAGCTTTCAAGTCTTACTAAATATCAGTTATTACTAGACATGGTCTGCTGATTAGTATACCCAGACTGTGAATCTCAAGATTCATGGTTCTTAACCTGTTGCCACGAAAAAATGCACTCTTCACTTTGGGGCTGCTGATGTATTATAAGAGTGATAATCAAATCTCACTGCTTGGTTAGACAAGAGTTTTTGTTAGATGCTGTTGACTAACTGATTTCCCTTTAGTCTATCAGTTCAAAATTAGGGACTGCTATGTACATGTAGTCCCCGTTTAGATTTGTATGAAATTCTGAAACAAACAAACCAATTTTTACCTTCTTTTATCAGAATTTTCTAGAAAGTGTTGAAGATAAATTCAATAGTTAAGCTATTTGGAATAGAGAAACTCATTTTCAGAATATTAAGTCAGTATGTTTATTCAGAAGAAAATATCTGTTATTGGAACAGAGCTGATATTAAATCAGTTGCACTTCTGTATGTTTGTATTCTGTAACGCTGATCTTACTCTACAGAGCTTGGAAGTATGGTGCCTTTGGAACACAATTGGCAGCACAGATGTTTCAAGCCTTTAATGTGAAAGGTAATTTCTTTACATTTGTTATCATTGTTACACCATCAGATTATAAAGAAGGTTTTGTGTTAGTAACATGTGATTTATGATTCTGTTACTTGCTAGTGTTAGATTATTTGAGTATTAAATTGTTTTTTCTTCCCCTTCATACTCTAGTATATCCATCTGGTTTCAAGTTATTCATTTGTACTTACTGATGTTATAGTATGACAACAAGGTTGTGATCTCATGTTGTTGTACTCCTTATGTATCGTAACATTAGATTAAACTTGGGTTAATTTATTCTGTTGATGTTTCAGTAAGAGAATAAGCTTGTATCAACTTATGCTGTTGATCTGACAGTAAAAGAATAAACTTGTATTAACTTATGCTGTTGATGGTGTAGTAAAAGAATAAACTTGAGTTCATGTTTCTCTAAGTTAGAATGTCTCTTGTTCGAATCCAGGGATGCTGCTGTAGATAAAATAGCTTCATGTTTATTAATTGAGTCTTCGGAAGCTGCTATACATGAAAAGGTTTCATGTTTTAGTCTTGGGATGCTGTTGTAAATAAAATTATTTCATGTTTCTTGTTTGGGTATTAGAATGCTGCTATAGATAAAAAGGTTTCATGTTTCTTTAATTTAAAATGTTTAGTGTTTGAATATTGGTATGCTTCTATAGATATAATAGTTTCATGTTTCTTGTTTTACTCTTGGGATGCTGTTGTAATTAAAATTATTTCATGTTTCTTGTTCGGGTATTAGGATGCTGCTATAGATAAAATGGTTTCATGTTTTTTTAATTCAGAATGTTTATTGTTTGAGCTTTGGGATGCTTTAATTAAAATGGTTTCATATTTCTTATTCTACTCTTGGGATGCTGCTGTAATTAAAATGGTTTCATGTTTCTTGTTTTTGTCTTGGGATGCTGCTGTAATTTGAATGGTTTCATGTTTCTTTAATTTAAAGTGTTTAGTGTTTGAGTATTGGGATGCTTCTATAGATGAGAAGGTTTCATATTTCCTTAATTTAAAATGTAGATAAAATGGCATCATGTTTATTGTTTGAGTCTTGGGATGGTGTAACAGATAAAGAGGTTTCACATTTCTTTGATTTAAAATATTTCATGTTTGAGTACTGGGATGCTTCTATAGATAAAAAGATTTCATGTTTCTTGTTTTTGGCTTGGGACACTGCTGTAATTAAAATGGTTTCATATTTCCTTAACTTAAAATGTAGATAAAATGACTTCATGTTTATTGTTTGAGTCTTGGGATGATGCTATAGATAAAAAGGTTTCATGTTTCTTGTTTGAGTTTTGGTATGCTGCTGTAGATAAAATGGTTTCACGTTTTTTGCTTGAGTCTTTGGATGCTGCTGTAGATAAAACTTGTTAATGTTTGAAAGTTCTTCCCTTGTTTGCAGAAATATTTTAAAATAATTCCATCATTTCTTCTTGGGATATTTTCCTCTTTGACACACAGGTAATTTTTACAGAAAGGAAATGTTTTTGTTTCATGCTAGATAATTTTTTGCAGCTGAAAATGTTGCTACTGATCTGGATTTTGTAGATAAAGATTAGTTTGTTTGAACATGGGATCCTTTTTTTACAGATGAAAGAATTTCTGAAAGATAAAAATGTTACAGACACTTGTGTGGATTATTTTTGTTTGAACCCTAGCTGTTTTTACATTTTTTTTTAGTTTTGGAAATAAAATATTTCTTTCTGAAACATGATTAGATGTTAAGTACAATAAATTGTTTCAATTTTTGATTGTTTTTGAAGATAAAGTTGTTTATTTGAAACTAACACTAATACAGGTAGTAAGTTTATTTATTTGAAGTGTAAACCACTTTTTTAGATAACATTTTTAATGTTTGAGCACTAGGTCATTTTATGGATTAAATGTTTGTTGTTTTATATGAAAATTAAAATATATGTTTTGTAAAACTCTCAAGGTCTGCAGTACCAAGAATATGGTCAGCTAGAGAAATGGATGTCTAATTCTTCTATGAAAATATTCCAAGATCGGGTGAAATGTTTAAAGAACCAAATGTCTAAGCCATCAAACAAGATTAAAAAGGTAATTAAATTTTAAAAACATTTTGCATCCATATACTAAATAGCAGTCTTTAATAACCCAACAAATGCGTTGATGGTGTTATAATGTGATTGTAGATAGGATAGGTAGTTGGCTGAAAAATGGATGAGACCTATTCACAGAAGGCAAAGTGCAAATCAGACTTAGTTATACTCACAGCGAGGACATGAAGCAAACACTCAAGAGCTAGTAACGAATGTTTTATTGGTTGTAAAACTGAAGATATTTTAACTTACGTTTTTCATCACAGGAGCTATGGCCACAGACCTTCAAGAAAGATAAAACACAGTTCACCTTTAGAATCATTTGCATTGGTAAGAAGTAAGAAAGTCTAATAAACTGTTTCATGACTAAGACAATTTGCTGAACTATTTCGTGGTAATGATTGAGACAATTTGAACTGTTTCATGGTAATGACTGAGACAGTTTGAACTATTTCATGGGAATGACTGAGACAGTTTGAACTGTTTCATGGAAATGATTGAGACAGTTTGAACTGTTTCATGGAAATGATTGAGACAGTTTGGTGAACTGTTTCATGGGAATGATTGAGACAGTTTGAACTGCTTCATGGGAATGACTGAGACAGTTTGAACTATTTCATGGGAATGACTGAGAC